TTGAGCTTGGTACGCAGCTGAATGGTGCGCTTAACGTAATCCTCGACGCGCTCATCGTTACCCTTCTTGAGGCTGCGTATTTGTGCGTCGTAGAGTAGCTGGTGCCCTTTCTGATTCTCGCTGTGGATCTTCTTCAGATATGCCCATCCAGCAGCTGATGTCGCGCACTGATCAATCTCCTGAAGGAACTTGTCGCCGACCATCATGATCAGCGCGGCCTTCGCCATTAAACCTTTCTCGACAGAGGTAATAGGAGCAGAGTTGACTACATCCCAATAACCATCCAGAATCAGGGCATTTCTTGCCCTCGGCTCCCATTGCGGGTAGTCGGCGATCGACTCCAACTTCGGGACCCGCTTCGATTGTTCGGCCATTTCGCAAATCCGGCTGTATGTAGCCTCCCTGCCTGCAGCCAGGCTCAAATGTACCAGAGCCGCTCTTATCCTGAGACTGCAATCCCGCAGTTGGCTGGTTCCGGCAGACCGCGACACTATCCTTGCGCGGGGCTCATAACCTGAAAACTAAGCAGCGAATACAGAGCGATCACCTCGTTATACGTTACATAGGTCTGGGATTAGAGCGAGGATAAAAGGCAAGACCCTGCCATAAATACAAAGTGTATCTCGGAAATCCGCTCCAGAACCAGTACAGGTATCCCGCCAAACTACGATATGCAGGAGTTCTGGACGAGATATCAACAGTTCCTGGCCTCGCCGTAGTTCGTTAGCCAACTTCCACTCCGGGGCATAGGCACTCCGGGAGGGGGGGGAGGGAACGTTTCTCGCGCTATATTTCGGTCCATACGATACCGTATTTTTTGTTGAAGGACATGAAGATGACGTCGCCTTGCGAATCGAACATACAAATTGCGCGACCATTGCCCCATGACGGCTTGCCGTGCCGAAGGCCTCGCGCTTCCAATAATGACTGACGATTTAGAAGAGGTACTTATTATGACAAGAGGTATTATTATTATTATTATTATTATTATAACGTTCCAGCTGCTGCCCAGCTCGCCCACTACCATGGGCAGGGTTAAAGATCGGATGAAAGAAGTGAAGCAAACGTCGTTGTGGCACACGTTGGTCGGACGAACTTCGGACGCAGGCGAGAAGATCACCAAACTTTTGAACTGCTGCTCACGTTATCGCTGATGAAACAGTTCGTTGCTGCAGTAGAGCCCGACGGGCTCGTATACAACACCCTGAAGGGGCGAAGGCAGCCATACGGCGCATTCATATGACATCACAGTTCATAGTTGATGTTGTTAGTGTATGTAGTCTACGAACTGCCATCGTTCCAAAAATGTCGTGCTCGTGTCCGAATTTAGACCCATCTCGCTTCTTCGGCAAAACAGCACTGTGGATTGCATTCTCTTCTGTGGCTCTTTTGCAGAGCAGATGGTGACGTTGTAAAACAAAACCAAAACCAGAACCCTAGTTTATCGTAATCGGTGTTGTTTCTTAGGCGCACAGACCCGTGGGTCAACAAGTCCAGCTCCTTCCGTAATGGCTTCAATCTTTCATTGACAATCCTCTTGTAACGCATGTGGGTCATGCACTCAAACAACTGATAAAAAAGTAGCCTACTTCTATTTTCCTGCCTACCCAGCTGCACAGCTAGCATTTACAACTTCTCTCAGCGCAGCTTTGATTTCGCGGCTTGGACCAGCCATGGCTGAGCCTTCGCCGGACATAGCGCCAGATGTGGCGATCGCATTATCACGCGTGGAGAACGACAGTGTGATTTTGGCGCTGTGGCTTCCAATGGCCATCTTTGGTCACATCTTTGCAGGGGTGTTCCTAATCCATGGGCTGTTCCTGTACAAGCCTAGCCTCAAACGGTGAGGCTGCGCGCGAACGAAGATCCTTGTAGTCGGCAAGCGGCCAGCAGCATAGCGGGCATATTCCGTAGGTGGCATGGCCTGTATGTGTGCTCCTGTTTTTTATTACGTGAAATTACCTGAAATAATTTGTTTAATTTGCTCCTACAAGAAGAGGGAAAACTGTGCGTTTTCATTTGCAGGAAGTTGAATCCAAGGTTGCTGCTGTCCTGGTGGTCTTCAAGACCGCGGAAATGTAGGTGCGCTTTCAGTGTCTTTTTATTTTCGCTTCTAGAGAGTTGCAAAAAACCACGGGCAAAGCAAGGAAAAGAATGGATGGGCGGATGAGCGGAAGATTAGCGCCCGGTTGAGCAATTCGTTTTTAGGGGTCATCCGCTCCTCACACGATGCCGGTGCCCATGCGCTGTCGCGATCGAATCTTGAACGCACGCAGGCGGCACCGAAGGGGGCGGCTCATTTCGTCTCCACCGTCCGCCGCCGCCGGCGCCGCCGCCGGCGCCGCAGCAACAGCAAGCGGGCGGCCGGAGGTTCTCCACTACGGGAGGTCGGGACGATGCATCGGCGGCCGTCGAAGAACTAGAGGATGACCTGGAGGACGGGAGTGTCGTACGCAAAGCGGCCCGTACCTACAGTGCAAGTACGGAGGAACTCCATGCGGTGTCGTCGGCTCTAGAGGCGGCGTTGGGGTACGACGGTGGTGACGGCGACGGCGACGGCAACGGCACGTCGGGCCCCAGTCAGGTGCGTGGACAATTTCGCAATTTGCACATCTCCCAGTAAACGAAGTACACGGGGGGGGGGGAGGGGGTTTCAGTCAGGTCTTTTTCTGCGGATATGTGTTCGGTGCCGTACTAGTACGGCTCTTAGAATGTGGCCACAAGCACGTGCCGTACGGCGTGCCGCACGCCTGTGGGCATTTCATTTTTGGCTTTATGGAGACCTTCAACAGTTTTCAACGCCACGCCCTCTTTTGTTTTTCCTTCCTGCGTCCGTACATCGTGGCTCCCCCCGGCCCCCTTCGCCGTTCCTCATTCGCCTCCCCGGCCCCCTGCCCGGGGCCCTTCCTC